GAATGCAGCAGGAGATTTTCCGGCTCAGACACGTTCACAACAATAGGACCAGGCGAGGGGTGGCTCCTGGGTAGAGCAGCGCATGACGTATTAATTCCACTGCAGAAAGCACATTGTTTTTGTTTGCAGCACATCCACACGGCGCCGACCCTAATTTTCAAAACCTCCTGAATCTTGTTGTCTTTCCACATCGACGTCTTTATTGGTATCTGGAGATATTTGCATTCTACCAGTTTTGTGTCCATCCCATTTCATCAACAAGCCCATTTGTGTTCTCACGTAAGGCACCAAATTCAGGAAAATTGAAATGTGTGTTTTCAGATCTTGTTTGCTGTGAACTGACGTGATGATAATAAAACCTTTAAAGGCACAGATGTCACAGACTGTCTATCTCTATTGGGCTCTACTGCCTCTACTGTTTACCACTGGAGACTCACAGGTTGCTTTTCTTCTACTTTTCCAAAGTTCAGCAGAGAATTTTTTCACCCTGAATTTGAACAAGTCACACATTGTGTTCAAACTGTGTCAGTGTCTCAAATGCTGTATAAGTCAAAAGTTCCACATTTTTGGGAAATATGCGTGTGAGGTTCACCAACACTCTAGTGACTGGAACCGATCAGTATTCCCCCCCAAAATGAAATTATTTATTTCAAAGGAAAACTTTAAGTTACGAAGATCAAGACTTCTTGGGTCGGGCCACTCATCGCTCACTTTCTGTTTAAGAGATGGAGCCACAGGGGGCTCAAATCCCCAGTTTCAATACCCCACCCATCCCCCCTGAGACGCCCCTGCTCCTGCTCTGCAGCTGGTCCTCACCAGGAGCCGGTGACGGTCCCATCTGTGGCATCGAGAGTGTGTTCAAAGAGTGAGAGGAAGGCTGAGTGTATCTGAAGGGAAGTTACACATGTGTTTTATACGTCTGACTCAACATCTGTTCACTGCTGCAGCAAGAGATCATGGGAAGTGACGATGAAGACCAGGTGGAAAATATCTCCACGAAATTAAATTTGATCGCAGAGGTTGTAACTTTTTTTCGGCTGCTGAGTCATTAAGATACAAGAACTGTCATCACAACTGTGAGTAGTGATTAGGCTATGTCATTGTTTTACTTTTCATTTTACTCATTATTTTCTGTATATATATGATTCACCTCCTGTCTTTACACTGTTATACCAATTATATCTACTTTTGTGTCTTCCACGTGACTTTGTCCATGTTTTCATATGTAAACACATAAATAAGAATAAACAGATTCAGTGATTATTAAAGAGTGTCTCACTTTCTAATTAGCCATCAGGTCTGCAATAGAATGACAGAGTTCACTTTCCCATGTTAATCTATAATTAAAAAGGTTTATAATAAAGGGTTTTTCAAAACAATCGATTAAATATCAATATTCAGGTTTAGTGTCGGTCTGCTGAGGCTCCATTTCTTCACTTACAAAACACTGCAGCCAGGCAGCAGTTGTTTATTCCTTATTTCTTAAAAAACAAATCTAACAGAGACTTGTTTCAAAGATCAAATCTTAATCTGACGTGGAAGAGTAGAGCTCAGGAAAAAGGAAATTCACGTGATTTGATCAAAAGCTCATAAACCGAGCACTAATGGACGCTGTGGTGAGGTTGGTTTTTTTTTCAACGTCAAAGATCAAGGACAGATTAAGTGTTTTATTCAAATCTTAATCTGGTGCAGAGATGTGCTCAGAAAAATGTTTTCATGTTGTCATGTGAGACTCGTTTATTAACTAATGCTTACTTTTTGAGAGGGCGGCAGCAACAGTGGAAATACCTGAGCGTGCCGTCATCACATGTGGTCAGATAGATGAGGATGTGTTAACAGGGCTACATCATTTGATCCCTCTGTGCATCACCTCATCGACGTGATATCATATCCAAGATAACTATTCAGAAAACTGTGATTTTCCTCTGTGATGAAAAACGGTCCATGAATATCCTCCCACACACTGAGAATAATCACCACACAGGATTGTGGGTAGGGCAGATGGTGTCGTCCAGTCTCTCGTATCAGAGAAGTGATAAAAACAGATTAAAAAAAGACTGTTGCCTGGCAACGCAAAATCACAGCAAAGGAAGTGATGGAAGTTTTAAGGAGGAGGGAAACTCGAGAGGAGAAGGGACTGGGAACATTTTGAAAATATTGATTCAGGATTGATTATCAGTTATAACTCTATGATCTAACTGAGTCAGTCATACCAAGCATGATTACTGGGTTTTCCAGTTCTCTCCTCCTCCTCCTCCTCCGCAGCCTGGATAGTTCAGAATATGAAAAAAAATTTCTAGGTGTCCAACAGGGTCAGATGCAGTGGAGTACGTGGGAGTGAAGAAGCTTTGACAGCCAGCAACAAAACCCACAAGGTGTTAAAACTGTGTAGTAATCTGAATCCTGAACGTGAGTAACATGAACAGAGAAACGCTGTGATTGTAATGTTCGATCATTTTGACAACACAACTCTACAAGAATCATACTAATCCAGGTTCCCCTGCAAATCTACTCATAAGCTTGTGAGCCTGTGTGTGTGTGTGTAGTGATGATGCATGTGACCACACAATGATTTCACCCACTGGATTTGGTCCAGTAGTACATTTGTGTGAGAAAATAAATGTGTGGTCAACCAGACCAGTTTATATGTTGGAGGAGATGGACAACGTGCAGAAAGGAGAGTAAATACTGGACCAAAATGATGATGGGAACGAATGTGTAGGGATTACAGACTGATGGTTAAAAGTTATCTCAATTTATTATAATAATAATATTAATAATAATACATTTTCTATACTTTTCTTAATAAATGTACAAACTGCTTCATAAAGAGATAAAACTAAACTAAGTAAGTAAGTAACTAAAATAAGTTAAAACATTTAATAAACACCAGCAATGAAAATAACTAAGTGCATCTATAAGTATTGCATTTATTTTCAGGTACTTGTAATAACTTCATACATTTACTCCACTACATTTCAGATGGGAATATTTAGAGCTACAATGGTTCGACATTTAATCTATTGCTGTGTTTAAATGTATTGAATTAGTAGCCTATCAAAATAATAGGAATCACTGAATCATTTAAGCAAACCCACATGCAACCACTTATCTACTGTCACCAGACACCATCACATGAACAGAGGAAGAAGAGGAGGAGGAGGAGGAGGAGGAGGAGGAGGAGGAAGGCCTGGGGTCATCAGAGAGCATCACCTCCCCTGCAGGCTCATGTGGCAGCTGAACCTTCACCAGGAAGGATTCAACCAACAGCAGCGACTGTAGTGATGCTGATGTAGCGCTGACAATTAGATCAGACAAGTCAGGGACAGATAACTGCTAATATTTGTGTCAGGGAGCAGAGGAGAGGAGGGATGGAGAGGGAGGAGAGGAGGGAGAGGTGGAGAGGGAGGAGAGGATAGAGGGAGATGAAGGAGAGGAGGGATGGAGAGAAAGGAGAGGATGGAGGGAGAGGGCGGAGAGAAGGGATGGGGAGGAAGGAGAGGAGGAAAGGAGAGAGGGATGCTGATGCTGTGACGCTGGCCTGCTCCACATATGCATCTAAAAATGAAACCTAACCTCCTTATCCTCCTCCTCCTCCTCCTCCTCCTCCTCCTCCTCCTGTCAGTGAGGAGATCAGAGTCTGTGCTGGCTGCTCTCACCAGTCTTCATGCATCTCTCACACAAAACGCGCACATCGAATAAAGAAACACGAATAAATCAGCTCAGAAGCGTCAACATCACCGATGATGCTGCAGGAGACGCGACGCTGTGCGACGCTGATCTCAAACAAAACCTCACGATGAACACGTATTTTTCACAAACACAAAACGAGCACATGAGCGTCTCTTACCTCCGCGCTGTCCTCTGTTGGCCATTATGATGGATGAGGAGGAGGAGGAGGCGCAGGTGCAGGGATGCGCAGCGACGCCCAGAGACACAGAAACATGAAGCGGTCAGTGCAACACGGATAAACACAGCATCATCTTCATCTGCATCATCGTCCTCACCTGTTTTCACCGGGATCCGGCTCTTGTACCTGATGTTGCTCGTCATGTTCTCCTCTCTCCTCCCTCACTGACAGCGGCCCCTCGCCTCCGACGCCCGGACACAGAGCAGGAGGGGCGGGCTGAGCCGACAGAGCACACCCCCTCCTCCACTCAGCCAATCACACTGCAGAGTTTTACCACCAGCTGAGGCGGTCACAGGACGCCATGAGGGGGGGGGGGGGTCACAGGGTCAACAGCAGCCCCACTGTCTGTCTGTCTGTCTGTCTGTCTCCTTCTTGTGATCCAAATTGTCTTAGGACACAAGTTTGTCCCAAGTCTTTAAAGTGTTTGACTTCAAAACATGAGATTCGACCTGATTCATCTGCAGGATCATGACACAAACATTCACCACTCATTGCTTTATCTTGCCCAAGTTTCTTTTTGTCCCTGTCTGTGTTGGTTTGTTCACAAGAAGATGCAAAAAAAAAAAAAAAAACTACAGGACAAACGATCACAAAACTTGGTGGACGGATGTGCTCTGGGTCACGGAAGCCTCCACCTTCAAAACCTAAGAATATTCAGGGGACTTATTTTGACGAGTGTGGGCGTTCTGGTGCAGTCTGGTGGAATTTAAGGGGACTCTAAGGTTTGTCCCCTACTGAGGGTCATTCTAGGTTGTTTTGTGGGGTGTCTATTTTTAAAGGGACTGTTTGCTCCACCCATAAGAAACACATGACACCAAACCACACGTACTAATCTTCAAACCAGTATTTTAGTATCAAATTCATAAGCAAAGTGAAAACTGTAATAGTAAAGCAGTTAAAATTTAAGTGCAAACCTGCAGCCCAAGCATTGATTATTATTTAGCTCGTCATGTCAAGATAAAAACACCAGAAACAAAAGTACTCACACGCCACTGTTCCACGCAGATTTTTCTCTAAACACATTTTTATTTCAGAGAGAAATGTAAAAAATGTTGACATTTAAAAAAAAGACTTTACTGACATTTGATTAAGAAATAATAATTGTGTTTTGTCTTAGTGAGTACAACAGACAAATATTCATGAGAGCAAAAGACAGAAACAAAATAACGCTGATGTAACATCAACGACAGTTTGATGGCACGGCTGAAGAAAAGTCAGAAGGCTGGAGGGAGTCTACACGAATAACAGTTAAATATTATTGTAGTGGATATTCAAATGGGAGAAGCTACACATAGTATGAAGAAGAATTGCAAATGTAGTGTATAAATGTTACGATACTAAAATACACATTAAACCACTGGACTTGTTTGATTAGTTTTGAGTCCGACGTTACGATCATGCAGCTGTTGATGATAAATAAAAAAATATTAACAACATGGCACTTTAATCATACATGATCAGACAGAATGGTGGTTCCTCTGTGTAATGGAGTGTGAATGAGTGATGCTGCTTGCATATAGTAGCTTTTCAAACTAAAAGACAAACAATCACCTCAAATTAAATTTCTATTTACGCTTACATTTCACTGTGGTGATATTTAAAGGCTTTGCATTTTGAGACTGAAGCCAACAAGCAACTGAAAGTTTGAAACCATCCAAAGATAAATTCTGAATGACTCATAACCCAATAAAATGCATGATTAGTAAACTGTTTTTCACTTTCAAGTTAAAAAATGTTCAAAATAGTCTTAAAGTGAAACCAAAATATATGGAAAATGTGAAAAAACTGAGGCGTCGACTTGAACAAAATGCAGGATTATTGCATATATGTTTGTAAACAGTCTCCTCTCTTCATACCGTTGTCACTGGCGGCTCTGTGGATCATGATCAAGATCAACAACTAAATGATGAATGAATGTCAATGTCGTCAAGTAATCAAATATTATTGAGGTCGTACTTTTGTGATTTCTGAGTCTCACTCAGAAAACTACCACAAACAAAAGTGAGTCTTAATTTTTTGAAAACAATTTAAAAAAAGAAGAAAATATGGTGAGTTGGAGGGAAGATGATGATGATGTGGTGTGCAGTAGAAGATGATGTGATCCTGGACTCCTGGTGGGTCTGCAGGGGGCCACAGGTAGTGATGATTCAGAGGAGGACCGTGTGTGCGTGTGTGTGTGTGTGCGTGTGCGTGCGTGTGTGTGTGTGTGTGTTTATTAAGATCAATGTGCTTTCTTCTCTGCTCCTTTCGATCTTATTACTCGTCAGACTTCATCTTCATCTGCGCCTGCATCTGAGCGATCATCTCCTGCATGCGTCTCAGCTATGACAAAGAGGAAAAACAAGGTTCCATGTTTATTTCTTCACACTGGGTTTGTTTGTATTAACGACTGATGAGTGACGAGAACTGGAAGCAGCTGGAAACTTTGGTCAAAATACAGAAGTGGGCAGATTGTTCCAGGGGAAAATTCCTCTGGTGGGAAGTGACTTGTTTCATGTCTCTAATAAACAGAAAGTGTCTCAGAATATAAACGAAATCAGGATTAATGGCCTTCATAAAGCCAACTCAGCACTAATGAAGCCAGATTAATTCAAGTCTGACTTATTTAATTGATTGAATATTATGGATCAGGAAACCATTATATTTTAAAACCATCACAGGTCAGACTGACAAGCAACAACGTTGCTCTCTATGATGTATACCGCCATCTTGTGGCTCCAGATAGAAATGCACATGGGTCATTTGAGGTACTTCTACTCAATAAGTTATTTACCTCTTTTTTCACATGGTTTTATGTGTTTGGAAAATTACTTTAGGTAAAGATTTGTTTAAAGTTAGGCTTAACTTTAAACAAACCTAAGCAAACCTAAAGTATGATTATCATAAAGTAAGGGATGATTCTTTACCTTAGGGAAGAAATCATGTGTAACACTTCATTTAAAGCCGCCTGTAATTTCTTAACAATTTCCAAAAGTTCAACCTGGATTCAGTTTTCGTAATTTGACATTAATCCATAAAACAAAGGGACAGGACATTTAACAGTTTGATTTCCTGAGAACAATACTATCTTTCTTTTACTAAACAATTAAAATCTTAATGGCTGGAAAAATGAATATAAATTCAAAACTAAGGAAATACAGTCTTTAAATATTTATATCTGTTTTATTTTGTCTGTAATTTACATGTATACAGAAGAGGTAGATTTGACATTATGACAGGTTCAGCTGACCTGATGTGAAGTGACAAGACTGGAAGTGTAACGACTGAACAGTCTGTATTTTCCCTTTCATTAATTATTTCCTTTGTAGGAAATAATTTGTAAACTAGGGACTTTCAGAATAAAACGTGACGTCATTGTGCGCAGTTGCTATAATATTTCCTCCCACTCAAAACTTTGATCAAAACAAATAGACCACTGTCTCTGCAGCTTTGTGTTTTGGGATCCTCACATTACTGAGGTCATTCCCACCATAAAAACTGGGCCAGGACATCCAGGCAGGAAGTGATGGCGTATCCTGCCTGGGCACAGTGTTTACAAACAGCCCCTCCGCACCCTGCCCACTCACTACGGTGAACTGCAGCAGCAACACAAACAGGGCAATCAAAAGCAATCAGGAAGCTGGTTATTGCCTGGTGATATGCAGGCTCCATAACCCAACAGGAAAACAATGCATATGGAAGATAGTGCAGTGAAAATAAATAAGACTTTTTGCCTGGATTGACCTTGAATTCTTTAGATGGATTGAACAAAGACATGCTAGTATCGTCATTTCTCAAAACCTGCAGCCATATTTTCACTTAGATATTTAGCCCCCTTTTTACTGGGCTGATTGAACGGTAGCACGAGTATGTTCCTGTTGTATAAAACACAGGGAAAAGTGAATATTTGTTCCTAACTAACTCAAAGTGATGCAGCTTCATGTCAGCGACAGCTTTGCTCTTCTTGAACAGAACAATTGAAGAACTTTAGATTTTATCCCTTCTTACAGTTGTGTTGAATTAAAATGGGAACACTCGGTAAAGAATGGATTGACCAATAACTCCTTTAACATGCATATGGCAAGTGAGAACTTCAATAACAACAAGTTAAAAACTATAATTTTATTTGTTTTAAACATCTAGTTTTTCCAGCTTTTCAAAAATTCAGATGAGGTGTGTGTTTGTACCTCAGCCTCTTTCTGTAGCAGGATCTGGTCCTTATCCATGACCTCCTCATCCGCAGCCCTGCAGGAAAAAACATGCAATATTATTAACTTTGCTTAAATCATGACCAGATCATCTGCTGTTTCACTGATATAAATTCACATCTTACCTGCCCGTTCTCTTCAGCCTCTCGGAGCGGAAGTTCTCGTAGTGCAGATCCTGAGTCACCTCCTGCAGGTCTTGCATGTGGGTCCTGTAACACACAGACACGCAATCCTATCCTCAAACACTAGAAGGCAGTATAGATCTGTTTCTCCAGCAAACCTTTACAACCAGTTTAATGAGTGAGAAGTTCAGTCAAGGTTTCAAAAGACTTCCCTTCAGCTCATTTTATTGCTGAAGCAGTTTTATTCACTCACACAAGCATGGTGCGTAGTTTGAGGAAGTCATTGTGCTCAGGGTTCTCCACTTCAACCACTCCCCAGGGATAGAGACGACCACGGATCTTCTTTCCCTTCACCTCAATCAGCTGATTGGAGCCGATCACAGCAAAGGGAATGCTAGCCTGGGGAAAGAGGATAAAGGTCAGTGGATCCCCAGAGAGAAACAAAGTCAGATGGAAAGAGATATGGAAAATAAAGGAGTCAGAGAAAGTCAGACAGAAACAAATATAGAAAAAAAAAATGGCAGAGAGGAAGAAGGGATGAATGGGGAGAGAATGGTATCCATCAGTAAACCAGAGAAGACGTAGTCTCTGAGCAGCTGACATCATCAGCTGTGTCCCTCCCTCACCTTCAGGACTCTTGTCTGCTCCTTGAACTCCTCGTCCTCATCAGAGTCCGCGTCAGGCAGCTGATAGATTTTGATCCCGTGCTCGGCGATCTCATCCAGGATCTGAGAAACGGAAACAAGTGAAAAATAAACCGTGAGGAGGCGGTGTTGTGACCTCATCACAAACTCCATGTCATGTCCTACTGCACAAGGAAAACTCGAGTCCTGAACCCTGCAGAGGTGCCAGTGCAGGTACTACCACAGCTGGTGTTGTCAGTCCAGACTCCAACAGTCTAGAAACAAACGATCAGAAGGGCTTTTTTCCTTCTAAAAATCTTTTTCATAAATGTCTCTGTTTGTAACTTTAAAGTCTGTGTATGGTAGACGCTCATAAAGTATTTACTTCTCTGTTTTTCTTCTGCCTTTGATCAATAGCGAAAATTGAGAGATGTTGGAGAGAGACGAGGACGGACATGCAGTAAATGTTCTGGCCTGCTGGGAATCAAACCAGGGAACTGTGATACGACCATGTGCTCTAACAGATATCATGTGGCCCCCTGTATTTCATTTTTATAAAGTTATATATCCACAATGTGCATCTGCTTTAATTCCAGCATGTCAGTGACGTCTGTAATTTATCTAAATACTGTGTATATTCGTAAAATTGGTGCATTCACTGTAACCTGTGTCATACAGACAAAATGACAGCTGCCGCTCTGACCCATAAACAGAAAGTAAGATGGCCCAACAGACTAATGGCAGGGTGTGAGTGAGTACCTGTTGTTGCAGCAACACACTTAATTAAAGCCCCCCCACGGAGGAAAGAGGGGTGAGACAGAGAAGGTTAGACAGGTGAAAAGTAATAACGGCCTGTGTGTGTGTGTAGGTGTGTTCTACAAGAGTCCTTAAACAGTCAGAAGCAGAGTTCTCACCCTGCTTCCCCCAGGGCTGACCGGTGAAGAAACAAGTTAAAACAAAGGAGCTTTCTTCGCTGCAACCCTCAGGGACAGATGTCAGTATTTATTATTCTAAACATCAAAGCTGCATTTTTCTTTTGTTTTCCCCAGAGCAGACTTTTTAAATCCACAATGCAGTCTTATGTAATCGAGCCCAAAAATGTCAAATGTTGTTTTCCTGACTTTTTGGGGACTTTCATGTACTGTAGTGTATAATAGGACAGTGTTGAGTCAGCCAGGAGCCTGGGAAGTGAGCGCAGGTTTCCCTACAGAGCGCAGCTCCTGTTTGAGCCCTTGTTATGGCTGCTGCTTGTTTTTTCAGTGAGCTCTGTGCGAAGTGTGTATGAGATAGAGTGTCTGCCATGGAGAGTCGGGTATTGTTGTGGGGCAGGTCTAAAAACAAACAGGCTTCGCAGGACTAACAGGAGATCGTGACATAAGACCAGAGCCTCTTTTTCCTTCATTTACTCAAACACGATTTACAGATTCCTCTAACATGGTGGCTGGATAAACATCACTGTGGTGGGGCGGAGCACCGAGAATTTTGGGAAGTTGTAGGAAAATAAACACATGAGTGACAATGGCAAGAAAAAATGAAACAAACAACAAATCCAGTCACACATGAAGATAAGACGGATAAATGCAATGCAATGAAACAGGAAAACTCTAAATGGAAGGCCACTGAGAAATTAAATGAACAACTAACTGGACTAGCCCTCAGCAGAGCAGATATCACAGCGAAGGCCCAAAGTACTCTTACATTTCATGAAGCCACAATATAGCACACACTCATAGATATTAGTTCTCTAAATGCACCTGATTTTCTCTTATTACAATTGGAGTGTGGGTCGCCCCACATACTGAGGCTTGAGTCCTCCGGGGCCACCGCAAGTTCGGTTCCGGCCTGGCCCTTAGATTCCCAGCTATATTTCACCATTACACACTTGCACTGTCCGATCAATGAAGGCAAAATGCACAAAAAACATCTACTCATGACTTGTTCCATTGGTCACTGATGAACACATTTAAAACCACCTCTCGCAATGTCAAAGAAAGTAATCCTGGAACCGCCCCTTTTTACTGATGTGTGCCATAGTTGTTGGATGTCTTTCTTGGCTCATGTCTCACACTTACACCAAGTTGCGTGGAAATCCATTCAGTAGTTTTTGAGTAATTCTGCTGACAAACAATTGAGCCGACAATAAAAATAAAACAACAGACAAGGCTGTAAATAGAAACTCCTTAGAGTAGGTAACTGGGAGAGCAACATATTTCAAATTACTATTAAACATCCAAAAACATCATGTGGTCATTGCACAGATGTGAGTCCGTCTGCCATCATCTGTTTCCAGACCTAACTAAGCCAAAAGCTTCAAAATGGCTGTTTACCTGAATTACTGTTCCGTAACGTGTGCTTAGTACGGCCTGACACCTGTAATCAAGACCTCTCAGGGATCATGCCATGTCAAAATCACTGCCTGCTTCAAATCCCTGTTGTCTCCTGCTGATTTACTGTACACAATGTAAGCCTTAATCCCTAATGTAACACCGGCCTCTCCTCCTCCTTGTAGTTGTGTGTTTTTGTTGGCACGGAGATGCTGGCAGTGGGAGCCATTTTGACTTTATGATCATCCTGTTGGGCTATAATACCCCCCCCCCTACCCCCACCCCTCCCTGTGCTGTTATGGTTGGCCATGCAGGGTCCACTCAGTGCTGTCAGGGAGGCAGACAAACAATTCCACACAACACTCTACCTCAGTATTAATTAGAAAAGGAAGCCTGGGATTTATCGCCTTATGTCTCTGGCTCATATCGTCAAGTTAGAAACATTGTTTGTGGAAATGTTTCGTCATGTGGGCCAGTTACAGTGAGTATGTGGGTGGAGAGAGATGCTGTCCAGTAAGAAAAATGGGTTCGAAGTGAGATCGGGTGAATCATGTCAGACGTGTGATTCCAGTGAAAGGTTGGACTAATTCTGTTCCAGGAATAGCTGTATTAAATACGCTGTGGTGGTTATGCGTAGCCCAAATATAGTATACATATGGTTCTATACATAGATGTAATTACACATCGTGAAGTCATAGGGGACATGGCTAAGAAGATTTTTCTGCAGTTGCACCATAACCTCAAATCATAATGTAGCAGGCTGCAAACCCGTCATTACAGGGATCAACCGTTTCATCCCGTCAACCTGTCGAGCGAATAATATTTTCACGATTTCATGATTCTCACAAGCGAACCCACATAAATACGAATGACTCAAACACCTGTTAAGCTATGAGAAATAATTTTTCGACAAACAACATTGCAAGAGAACAAATAGCTGTCAAAGAAAAAAAGCATGGCGACAAAAGGAGGGGATTGTGGTGAAAACATGCACAAACACACACAGTCGCAATTACACAGTGCTCAAGTGACAGCTGAGGACAGAACTAAAACTGTAACCGCGAACAATAGTTGGAAGTAGAAACGTGTAACAGAACAGTCATAGGAAATCAACAATGCAGAGAGAGACAGAAAAAACAATCTACAAAACAAAACAATCTAACTGCACCTAATCAACGACTATTGAGAAGAGCAAGGATGGGGGACGCAGAGGGACCAGAGCAGTGGCACTTTTATGTAAGGTTTATGTAACCTCACAGCTGCCTGCCAGCTTCTGCAGAGTGGCCAGGGGACTGAAACGGTGCATCGCTGCAATTAGAAGTAGTAATACTGATTAGCTTTCAGTCAGTTTTAAACCTTGTTCCATACTGAGAAAACACCTTGAGGGGCAGGGGCCCTCTTTTTCCAAGACTGCAGAGTTTATTATTAAAGGAAAATCTTGACCACGGTGAGCATTAAGTCCATTTTCCTGAGCGCTCTCTGTCCTTTTATGAGATTCCTGTAGGTCAAACTGTGTCTCCAATCCAGTGGATAAAAAGTGCTTACTTTGTCCTCTTTCATGTCATTACTTTGATGCAGAATTGTTCTACAGTGGAAAGGGCTAAAATGAGATGTGATGCAACCACAGAATTTAAGCGGCTGCATAAAACTATCCAAACTACCTTAGCATGCAGCTAGTCCACATGACCAATGGTGTCACACTTCCTAAAAGCTTTATAAGAATTACCGTAACCAATGGTTTCATTCCATCAGTCACGTGTGGAGTCAAATGGAAAACAAATGTTTTGATTTTATTTTGGAGCAGTGGGAAGGCAAGCAGATACATGATTTAGCTGAAAACTAAACTAACTAAACTAAACAGTAGAATGGAAAAATCAATTTGCTAAAACTGTCTTACATATTTGCTGTTTACACCTGGAGACAAAAATGAAGCACCAGTCGATCTGATGAATTCCAACTGCCCAGCCAATAAACTCTGTGAAATATGATTTCTGGACAAGCAGAAATATGGTCTCACATCCCACATGAAATCCAACCCACTTTTAAGAGAGACACATCATCATCCCCCGATGTAAATCTAGGTCCTGCATGGTAGAAAGCATTTTAAGCTTCAAGCGCAGGCTGCTTTATTTCACTCTTACAGTGTGACACAAATGGAAAGTTGCTCGACCATCTTCTATCAACAAATGATTTCAATGCAATGATTGAAACAGAGTATTAAACAAGGCTTCTGCCAACAAATATATTTACACTCAGTGATAACTGAGCCGTCTGTTGCTCTACAAATGTTTCGGATGCCACATTTGAACTCAATTACAAGATGACAAGACAAAAAGCAGAATAAAAAACATTGAAATTAAAAATCATATGTCTTGCTAAACTCTTACTATTTTCTCAAGTTTCCAAAACTCATTTGCTAATAATAAGACACATGAAAATAAATGCTGCTCTTTTGCTACTCCCATTTTAAACTAACTCCTGCCTGCAGGGAGTCTGAGGGGGTCAGAGAGCCCCAACAATACCCAATGTAAGGGGGTTGGGGGGTTTTCGCCTCCTACACGATCATACACACACACACACACTCTCATATGCTTGGTGGATTGATATCATCTGGTGCCAGGAGAAAAAAAAGGTTTCAGTTCAGCGTTTTGTTGCTTCAGGAGGACAACAAGTTGAAGGAGGAGGAGAGGTCAAAAATAAGCTTGTATCTTCACTGTAACTACAGAGCGACTCCCTCTGGCTGTTCAAATATCTTCTTCTACTAAAAGAACCAATACACATAAGCGGCACAGGGAAAACCAATAACTTTGTGTTTAGAGGATTAAAGACACTTCCAGGCATGTACGGGAATTCCAGGTCTATCCGTCAGTTGACGATCCTGACTGGAACAGACCGGACAGGTGCGGATGGGAAATACAGAGGAAGTCCCACAACCATAGCAACGAGAAGGCATCATATGAGTAACTGTGATCAACACACTCAGAGGCACATATGAAAACACACCCATTCTCCTATTGTCTCAGCTAAGTATTAGAACAGTTAAGACCACCCACCTCTCCCTCTGATCAAAAAGCATGGAGAGGAACAATCGAGCTATTCATGTAATCTTGTGTTTAAGTAAGATTTAAAAGGGGACAGTGCGAGTTTAAGATTTTTTCATCCACACACCACGTTTTGTGACTTGAGCTGGTAATCAAAAGGGTCTCAACGGTAAAACCCAACAGCTAAAAGTGACTCATTAGCAGCGCGGCAAAAGTCCAGAAACCATAGTTACAGGTTGGTCTCCAAACAAGGAACCCCGGTGTTTTCACAATGTAGTGGGAGCCGATGATTGTGTGTAATAGAGCTGCTTGTTCTATGAGGGAAAAATGCATATTTATTGTTTTCAAATCTGCAGAGACGTGGAGTATGCCCTGGCACAATGACTGCTGGAGGGCAGAAAAATAAATATGTCCGCGTGTTTGAAACGCAGGCAGGAAAAGCACAAGCTGACCAGGGAGTCTTACACATTACACACAAACGCACACAGGAGCGGTGAGGGAAAACTGAGGTAATGACCATTAACACCTTTACTCATGGGGCACCAGAGGAGACATGTACAAAGAGAAAAAAATGGAGAAGAATATCAAGCTCACATATCATTAATCAGTCGCCTCATAATTTCCTGTCCTTGCCCAACAGATCTGACCACAGACCTTCACCTTTGTTTACCTTTGTGTTAAAAATGCTTCACTTTCTGTTAATTCCATTTAATAAAACCTGATGACAATATTGGCCAGTTCAAGCAGTCCAGTCCACAGATAATGTGTCCCAGTAGGGTCGTATAGAGCTGGTTCACACAGCGGGAATGTGGTGGAGGGGCTGGGGGAGACAACAGTCAGTCCGACAATGAGGGAAACAAGTGACAGTGCCTCGGCCAGGGGTGAAATATGGCAGCTGAGGATACAAACATAGGGGACGTATAGGGCTGTGGATGGGAGACAGTAAGCAGAGATGGAGGAGGAAAGACAATAGAAGAAGGGAGTAGAGATTCAGAAGATGAGGGAAGCGACAAGAGATGTGGGGAGGAGGTTCAGACGGAACACAGAAGGGAATGGAGGGAAGAAAAGGGTCTGGACTATTGTCTGCTGCCTGGTGCGAGAACAGAGGAGGGGAACTGGGTTCTCTTGCCCTCTGGCTTAAAAGAACAGCCTTTAGTCTTCAAAAGAAAAAATAGATTTCACATAGATTGAGGTTGAGGCCTGTTACAAAAGCTTGTTTCATTCTCTGCAAACCTTTCATCAAAATTAAGGCGTATTACACTGCTTTAAATGCAGCTGTTCTACTGCTGATCGTTCTAAAACCACACAGCAGGGTTTGAGATGTTTGCGGGTGATTTTTCCCACTTGTAGGTTCTGGCTATTTGGTATTAATGCATTTCACCAGCATAAGACAAATAAACCTGGATTAACTAAATTATAGTAGAAAATCTCACATCTGAAAATTGACTTTTACCCAAACCAAAACATGTGATTTGATTGTTCTAGTTACAGAATTATTTGAAAAAAACAAACAGACAACAGCAATAATTTGTACTTGCTTCCATTGGGATTCTAGTATAAACCTGCTGCATATTGTCATCTATGTTCAAACTGAGATAAAAAAAAAAAAATTGAAAGCAATTTGAGACTAAAGCCTCACACAGGATATGACTGAAAGGTCCCAGACTGTGAGGATCAGCCCCTCAATATACCCTCCTCGGGGCATTTTATGAGCTAGTGACTATAGAGACCCCAGTGAAGGAAATTGGCATTAGAGAAAATTAAAAAAGGGGACCTAAGAGGCAGAGGAAGAAAGTAAGAGGTAGCTGAGTGAGGCACTGCCAGCACAGGAAGGTTTGGGGGAGAAAGAAAGCAGAACTAAGGGGATGAAGGCTGAACGATGTCCTGTAGAGTCTGAGCTGTACAGGACAGCAGGTTCTATCTAGTTGGTGGAACAGTCTTCACACTTTACAGGAAACTTTTATTGTTCTGTAAAAGCTGTTTCCCCTGAATAATAAGAGAAAACACTGGACGAGCCCTGAGAGGAGGGGAACATATTTACTGAGAGACAAATGGCTTAAAACGGTGAGAAAGTAACCTACAAAAAACAAACTATTGAATACTATGGGAGAAACACAGAGGGATATCAATCATCCTGCAGCACTATGCTTTTTGGCAGGTTCTTGGCTGCTGGTGCTCTGACCTCAAAGGAAGGCCTGGTGCCTCACTGCACTGTACGAGACTGTAAGGCAGGAATCAGGCACGTACACCTAAGAGCCACTTCAGCTAATCTGATCGAACCAACAAATACTAAAGACTTCTGTATTTGTTCTCCTGAGAGACACTTAGAAAGACAAATGGGGATTATGACTCCATTTACATGCACACAGAAAAAAAGGGACAACTAAGATAAATGAGTTATTCTGAATGTGACTATGAAATAAAGTCAATATTTTGAGGTCACAACACATTTTCTGTGGAAGCTCTCAGACATAACATAGAGAGTCAATACATCAGGAGAAACCTGTTTACAATGAAGATGCTTGGAGGATGTGGCTGTGTCCCTATGTGAACTGCTGTATCAATGATTCCCTTAATAAGGACACATGTATATACAAAGTTTATCTCATATCTGTACTAGAATTCTGTTAAAAGCCAAGAATATGTTTGAAATACACTGAAAGAAATGTTCATTCTCACAGAGGCTCCAACGCCAGAGAATACTTATTTTAACAAATTGAGATGAAGATAAAAGTGGTGTGCCCAGAATGTGATAGAAAGCAATTGCAGGAATAATATATACTCCTGAGGGGAAAGGGCCATTCCTAAATTTGGGGGCAGATTGCTCAATTAACCCTCTGTATTTCCTGACAATAATTGTTCGTCCAGGAACTCATTAAATACAGTCAAACTAAATTTAAACATGTCTTTGAATGTGCGTCAATACTTCTAAAAATTCTAAATGCAGTTTAGAAATAATTATGACTTCTTCCCAGAGAGAATTTTGTGGAAAATGTATGTGTGTGTGTGTGTGTGTGTGTGTGTGTGTGTGTGTGTGTGTGTGTGTGTGTGTGTGTCCATTTTATCGAAGTCAGCAGCTAATTGCTCCTTGGTGTACACTGGGAAATGTCTGTTAAGGGTACACTTAGCAGAGCATGTGAACAAACTCTGCTGGACAGATAGCGTAGTGGACAGTACGGCAGCAAAGAGGTCAGATCAGAGTGATACTGTTGCAGAGTTTTCCGCTGCCACACTGTAATTTCCCATTCCGCCATTATTGACTACACATTCAGTAAAGGATGTCCAACAATGAAATTAATGAAAAGCAAAACATGAACAAATTCAAACAAAAAGTGTGCCAAAGGCCCATCAACACAGCTGACCTGCTGCACACTGCCAGCTGGATCAAATAGCAACTTGCAAGCTTGGGGGTTTTCTATAGTTTGGGGAGGGGGTCAGCACTGGCAGGAAACATGTTTTTTGTTCATCTTAAGTGCCAAAGGAACACTCACACAAGGTTTGAGGAAGGTCAAAACACAAAACAACACTACAGAGTACAATTAAACTGGTAGGTCCTCTTAAGGTCATCGCAGTGGAGGAATTTCACCTTTCATGGTAGTTCAAATACAGAATTAATCACTGAGTTCTCAGCTTTTGATACTGTGACAAATGTTACATCGTGTTGTCTTTGGAAATACAAGAAGAAAAGTATGTGTGTGAGTAAGAAACCTTAAACTGTGAACCCTCATTTTGCTAAAATTATGCATCAGCCTGTTTAACCATTCTGGCTGTTGAATGCTTTGAACAAAACAGACTTCCAGAGCTGGACTCCAGTCAGTCGACCCGCCCGAGCCTGCCAGACAACCAGCTCCGAGAGGCAGGTGGGAGGTCTGGGCATGTAGGGGCAGGTGGGGAGACAGGCTGACTTCCAATTAAAAAACACAGTGGAGTGGGCTGAGAGGAAAAAGTAATTTGCAACTTAAGCCGCACACACCACCCACAAACTTCTGACCTAGGGCATGATGCAACTAATGATAACTTTTATTATTGGCTATCAGAGAATTAACATGATCTTCCTGATTGGTCTAGTTTCCAGACTTACACTGATGACATGACAAGAGCCCTCATGGACGACTCATGGATACTCATGTTAGGAACAGTAGGAAGCTTAGTAGCGTGCACGTGCAGGCAGGCAGACACTTGGGTCAGCCGGAAAAGGAAGTCTCTGGGATGGGTTGAGACTGGATGGGATGTGTTTCATCTTTATTATATACAAGACTCTTTTCGAACCTATGATCCTCCAACTGTTTCCTCTTTTATGTCCTTTTGAACATACTGCCTATATCATCAAAAACATAAGCATGTAAGCCATCAGTGGATCTACACAGGGAAGAACACTTATGCTTTATCACACAAACCCTGTAACTTAGCTATTCTTAGTGATTATTTCAATCGTCCGTACAGAAAGAGCTTAGATATCTAAAAATAAATATAAATGTCAAATCTAAGGGAAAGTGTATTATGACATACTATATCCAGAAAAAAGGGAACAGCTGTGCATGTGTATGTGCGTGTCTGTGTGTATGTGTGTGTGTGTGTATGTGTGTGTGTGTGTGTGTGTGTGTGTGTGTGTGTGTGTGTGTGTGTGTGTGTGTGTGTGTGTGTGTGTGTGTGNTGTGTGTGTGTGTGTGTGTGTGTGTGTGTGTACATCAAGCTCACCCTTCTCTTCAGGCGATCCCTCTCCCTCAGTGTCAGTGTGTCAGCCTTGGCAATGACTGGGACTATGTTGACTTTGCTGTGTATGGCCTTCATGAACTCCACATCCAGTGGCTTTAGACTGGGTAGGAAAAAAAAAAAAAGATGAGAAGAGACAGCAAAAAAGAAAACATCAGAGAATTCAGTAGGATTATGTACTGAGAGAGCACTGAGAGACAGAGGTTGAAAGCTCAAATGTATTTTTGTAGCTAGGGAACAAAGTTCATCAATAAACACACTTCTCTTCATTATAAGCGAAAATGAATGCAAAAAACAGCTATCGTATTTTGACAGATCAAAAGTTAGTTAGATCAAAAGTTAGGTTTGCTTTGTTAGCATCTGCTTGGTGGTATGATGTTATCACAGCACAATGTGAACGATTTAAATGTATTTCCCAGTCTTTTTATTTTAGCTAATTTTGGAAGTACTGCTGTAGACATGACAAACTCAAATGGGGTTTGTTTACCCGTGTCCAAATGGAGATATGAAGTAGAAGCAGCAGTGCACCCTGTTATCCACAATGTGTCTTCGGTTCAGTCCACTCTCATCATGGAGGTATCGTTCAAACTGATTGTCAATGTACTGGATGATGGTCTTGAAGCTGACGTCAGAAGCAAACAAAATGAGATGAGATGAAAATCACCACAAAAACACTGTTGCACCAGATCTAAAAAAATGATTTGATGACAATGGACAGATTTTGGTTGAGACAAAATAAAGAGTAAGTGATTAGTGTCCTGTTACTTCATCTCTTTTGCAGTTATTTACTCTTCTAGCGTAGCTTATAGTGTAAAAATACAGCAACACTAGATCCAACCACAGGAAATAGATCTTCAACAAGAGGCCACACTGACAGCTGGCATGAGGATACCACACAAGCAAACACACATGTGCGCGCGCACACACACACACAGTTGAAGGAAATTTTAACGTAGAGAATGCAAAGGGAGGAGATGTAGGAAAAGGAGTATAAAATGAAACTTAAGAAAGGGAGGCTGAGGTCAGGAGGGAAGAATGAGACTCCACACTGGACAGGAAACACGTCCCAAGATATTATGACTCCTCACTCCTCCACAGCACACAAACACAAACACACCAGTCCTGGCTGTTGATAGCATCGCCATATCCAGGGGTGTCGACCACAGTGAGACGAAGCTTCACTCCTCTCTCCTCAATCTCAACGGTAGATGCTTCAATCTGCACTGTCCTCTCAATCTTCTCTGTGGATCCCAAGAACAAGAATAATCACAATCACTAACTCTTTATTAATGACTGCAGGGAAATTGCTTAAGAAAAGGGAAGGAAGTAAAAGTATGATTAAATTATCCACTTTCCAATGGCTGAGTCAACTATAAATTAGTAACAAGAATATATAAAACATGTATAAACCATGGGTTTTTGTCATCTGAAAAGGACTACATGTTTTCTTATCTGTACATACTGACCCGGGAGGGCATGGATAATTGTTTTCAAGCCAGAACAAGTCCTAATCTAAGTCAAGTCATAAGAAGGGCAGGGTCATATTTTGAGACTAAAGCATTCTCAGCATTCCTCTTGAAGCACTGCTCTGCTGGAGACATTGCAGCAGACATTTCTGTATTATTACAGTGTGTATTTTTGTGCATGTTCATTTATGTGTGTGTGCGTGTGTGTACTAGGGAGTGTACCTGCAGCACCAGGGATGTAGCGTTCAGGGTAGAGATCAGTGAGAAACAGGCTGTTTATAAGTGTCGATTTGCCCAAACCAGACTCCCCTGAAAACCAAAGAAAATGGAAAATAAAGCTCTTTTCTCAAAAGATATTTAGCTGACGTCCTCGTCAAAAGAAAAGAGTGGTCACTCACCTACAACCATTAGGGTAAATTCAAACCCTTTTTTCACAGATTTTCTATGAACTTGGTTTGGAAGGTTGGCAAAACCTACATAACCTGTTGCATCTGGGAACTGCAGAAGATAAAAAGATATTGTTTAAAATAAAGTTCAGGAACAATTAATAAAAAAGCACTAACTGAGTAATAAAGGGACAGCATTTATGTCATAAATATCAATTTTTATATTTCAGTGTCCCTAACTCAGTAAACAACTTAACTCTCTCCTGACATTTTCCATCAGTTGATGAGGGAAAGTCTGTTTGTAAAGGTGAAGTGAGATTTATGATGATGCATATCATTGAGAAATTCAAACAGGCAATAAAGCAAAGCTATGAAACACTAGCATTTATACAGGATATCCTCCCTGGATGCCTGTGTAAGTGTGTGTGCATGAGATTACAAGTACCATGAGTCTTAATCACCAAAGCTTAACCAGGACCCCTCTTGTTCACTCTGTCGATGTGTCATACAATTACTTCATGCAACTTCTTGTTACTCACCTTCCCCTTTTCTCCGGACTGAGACATTGCTGTTCACTGGATGTTAGACGAGCTTACTGGTAAAAAGAAGAGATAAAAAAAAAGTATCATATTCAGCAAATATTCGTCCAGAAACCCTGTTGAAACAATTTCTCAAGTATTCACTCATTCAAGATGTTTAAAGTGTTGCTTAACCTCAGATAAAGTCATACTTGCAAGGTTATTCTCACAATTCTCTTTATAATGACCCTGAGCAGACGACAGAGCAACAAGCTTGCTTGATAAATTAGCCACATAATGACGGAGCAGGAAGAACAGGCTCCATTTTATCACCAACACACTGGCCCTTGACAGGTGGAGTGTGATAAGCATTAGAAAGAGGCAGGCTGCAGTGCGCTGCCAAACGGAGATGCACTCTGGTTACTTAATGGTAAAAAAGGTGGCATGGGAACCCGAACTGACCTCCCTCATTTGGGGAACCATTTCACACTGTTAAATTCATTAGGCAGTAGTCGGGGGCCCTCTGTATCTACATGAAAGAGGCCAGAGATCTCTCATACTGACAGGGTAGTTTCATCGAGCCCACAAGTGGAACAATGGCTGTTTATCCCTCTGGTTCCTGAAGCCTTTCCTATACAGAGCAGCTCAGCTGGGGAGGAGGGAGAACACGTGCCTCCCCCCTGAGCACATTCAGGACTGGCCACAAGCAGGACAGCAAGGGGAGACACCAGCCATTTCGTACAAGTCGAAGGGATAACCCAATAAAAAAATATTAAATATATAAAGAAATTTCTATTTTCATGGTCTGAACTGTTGGTTTGACAAAAACAGACATGTAAACTTGGGTCTGGAAAAGAGCGATGGAGATTTTTCACAATTTTCTGCTATCTTAAATATCTAAAATATTCATATTTTAAAATGAATCGCTTAGTTGGCAATCAGTAATGAAAACAAGATTATAAGTGCACGGTTAAGATAAGTTTAGCAGCTAAAATGTTTTGTCATGTTCACCATCTTCCACTTCCATTTTGACCTGATGATGAAGACAAATGGCACAAAATAAATAAAAACTTGGCCTGCTCTTGGTGTAAGAAGAAAAGTCACCAAAATGAATTCAATAGTTTTTGAGACTTTTAACCATTAAACAACTGAACTGAACAGTCAGAACTGAAACAAAGTGATGGATTGACCAACCAACCAGCATTTCCATCCACTGAGTCACATTAGTTTCAGCCCTGAAACACGGCAAAGACAACAAAAATGTGTTTTCATTGTGAATGAACATCTAAGTTAATGTAGCAGCCCACACAAGCTTATCCGTGTGTATCACACACATACACACCCTTCTATTCTTTGACGGGCTCTGTGGGAACCAGCATTAGTCCAGCAGCAGATTAATTAAACCGTTCAAATATCGCAGTTGTAATATCACAAAGACAACACAACAGGACAGACAGGCGGGAGGCACACTTCAATAATACTCTCTTAATAATGGCCATTTAATCGGCTAGGCTGCTGAGCTGCTTACACACACACACATCTATCAACAGGCCAGACATGGGGGAGATTAAACTGTTTGAGCCAAAAGGGAAAAATGCCACCTTAGTAAAGCCAAAGTTGTTGGCATGTTGAGCATTTACAGTTGATTTATTGGCTGGAGTGAAGCCATGAAGCGGGCAGCAGTACGATCAGAACTATTCACCTTCCTGACAGGCGGTGTCAAGGGTCCGAACACCCACCCTCCATGGATTAAAAACTTTCTGTTCTCATTGGAAACACCGAGGCAATAATTTCACACCATGGACATTTTGTGAACTTGGTGGCATCACAACAATTATGTTAATTTACTGGCAAGTGATCATGGCAACAGGGAGCTACTCAGCATAATAAAGTGATGTTTGGCCCATGTAAAATACACACAGACATAAACAACAACACAGCCTTGGCTGAAATTATGTCGCCCTTGGAGACCAAAGGTAGTAGCGATAGTCAACAGCAATAAATATATTATGCTGGTGTTAAAGTCGTGCTGTTAAAAACACATCATTTGCCCAGAGGACAAAAACGTCACAATAGGCAGAATAAAAAAGCCTTTCAACCAGGAGGAAAGCAGCCAGCTTGTTCATAGCTCACACAGAGTTTAAAGCACAGGATGGAACCTTAATGATAATGGGGGCATGAAAGGAAATGACTAAAAACAAAGCATAGAAACAATTTGTTATTCTATCACAGCTGCTGGTACAATGAACCTTTGGTGGAAAAAGTTAAATAATTAAATGTGAAACTGTAACTGAGAGTCAGGTAGAAGGTGTAGGTTTGGTCAAAGGGCAATGAATGCAAACCAATGGAGAAATACATGTGTATATATATACTGTATATAAACATGTATATATGTACACACATATATAGATATATATCAATATTGTGGGCAATGTTAAATCAATGAGCAAGAGTGAGCTGAACTGATTTACAGCAATATTGGATAAACATTTCTCAAAATACCTTATTAAAATAAAATGTCACTTGCTCAAGAAGAGGTTCATATTATCCAACCCCAAGACTGATTGCAGTCATGATTCAATAATGTCATAAATGAAATGTAGGGCTGCAACTAAAAGATCTCAATAGTGAGATTTTATTTTCTCAACAAATCATTTGATCTTTAAAACCTTAAGAACAGTGAAAAACACCAACACATTATCCTCAAGCACAAGGTTTTGTCCAGCTAATAATACAAAACCCCAAAATATGAATTCACTTTAATGTAAGGCCATTAAAAGTATTACAATTAAAGGTTTATCTCATTAAAAGAGGGATAATTTACTTAACAAAATAACTTAAACAATGAATCGGTGATCAAAACAGTTGATAAAAATTGAATTTGATCAACACCAATTGAATAATTACAGCTTTAAGGAAAATAAGAGTTATTTGCATACCTAAACTGAAGCCTAGCCCTATTGACAGCCAAAAGTATTCACCAAATTTACGTGACCGTACAGCATCGATCGGGCGAAAAGAACTCAACTTTCAAAAAGACCATTTTCCTGTTAACACAATAAAACAAGGGATAAAAGTTATTTCTAATGTGCCTTTCTTCCCCCTTTTTTAAACATAGTTTTGTGAATAAAGATGTCTTGCTGTGTAAAATCATTTAAGTCTTTGGCACAATAGCGCAGGTCCACTGTCGACGTGATTCAAGTTTGGTTTTTCCATTCACAGCCCAGTGACAAACCGGAGGAAACATCCCCTTGTAGTTTACAGTGTCAGACAGATGTCTTCCCCGGCGCTTCTGTGTCGGGCCAGTGTTTGTAAGAAAAGGTCGCAGGAAGGGGAAAGGTCAAAGAGGGGTGAAGGTGCTGGCTCAGAGGCATGGGGGCGTCTTTCAGTACCAAGAGATGTTGTCCTTCTGATATCAAATTCATCTGTGGAATAAAAGGGCAGCTGCAGGCCTGAGATTACAGCTCAACCAGTCAACCATGGTGCCCATAATGTTCACCACCCAGAGAGAAAGGAAGTGAAATATGTGCGTTTTGACTGAACACAAGCAAAGATGGATGATAATTCTTCAATGGTGGCCCTTCGCCACAAACACATCATGAAAATAAGTTATTGTTTCCAAATGTTATTGTGAAGTTGTCTAAACATGAAATTCATGTTGCACAAATATGCCTTTCTACCAACGGTCAGGCATTGATCGATGTTAGAGTTATTCGAGAGGCCAGGAATTCTACACAAGAGGAATTAACAGGAAATTTGTGAACGTTCATGTTTTGAATGGCTGATCTGATACAGATTGGATATGAAACGGGTTTGGAAATATGGAGGTCCAGTGACATCTGATGAGAACATGAACTGAGACAATGAGGCAACTGGAACTTAAAGGGATAGTTCACCCAACTATGCCGATTGAGGGGTGGGTGAAGTGTTTGAGTCCACAAAACAGTTTTGGACATAAAACCTGTTCAAAACCTGTGGTGTCATCCAAGTGTCCGTAAGCCCAACCATTTAAATTCAACTGGAAGCAGTGTTATTTACACCTTGTTTTTAGTCTTAATGTCCGGTGTTATCCAGAGGAGTATATCAAAAGACATTCAGACTAAAAACATGGTGTACATGACGTAGTTGTGGGTCAGATTTGAATGTTAGGGCTTACGGACATGTGGATGACACCACAGGAGCAGTGTGGAGGCATGTTTCTGTTGTTTTTATACATTTGAAGACGTGGTCACCAGTTTGTTCAATTGTATTGGATTTGGCTGCAACCCCCCCCCCCATCGGCACAGTGGTTAATGAGTGAATTTAAGAGTTTAAAAAGTACTGGATTTATCATCATGGCTTTGAATATCTGAAGAGGAGGAGCTGCTCACATGTTTAACTGTGTCAGACCTTAAAAAATAATAAGCTTCAGTCACAGTAAGTGTGTGTAACGTGTGTAACGTGTGCGTGTGTGTGTGTGTGGAGGCCTGTGGATCTGATGTCCACCACACCCAGTCTGTCTGTCAGACACTTACCACAACAACAACTGGGACAATGACATTAAACTTTGAACCAGCACCATCAGTGAAGCGCCACAGTTCCTTCAAAAAACACCATTTCCTCTATAAACCGTGTTTAATAGACGGAGTGTGAGAGTAGCTGAGCTGTGGAAGTTGACATGTCAAACTTTAGCAGGCAACAGTTGTTACCGCGGCTGGTGTCCTGCTGCCAGCTCGGCTTCCACTGTCTGAGGCTCCGGTGAATCTTCCTCCTCCGGCTCCGGCTGAACCTCACGGCCTTATTACAAACAACACGACAACATGGAGTAACCAGCGGACAGAGTCTTACCTCAGCTGAATTATTCTTAATCAACAGGAGCTTTTTGGATTCTCGCCTCCGTCCCAGCCCAGGAAGGGAAACCCGGAAACCGCTCCCGAGAGTCCGCCCCTAGTCCCCGAAGCGGCCGTCGTGCTGCGCCACTGACGCCATTACGGCTCAACGACAGGAGCTGCTGGGCCGTGGAGAAGCATTGCTCGTCAGATTCAATATGGAGGTTTCTGTGTTCCCGGTTTCTTTCACTGGCTCCTGCCCTGCTCTCTGCCCGCCGAATTCATGGAAAAGCTTTATAGTAATTGAATGAAATAAATAGGATGCACATTTTGAGGTATTTTACTGGAATATGTTTTTTTTCGCAAAGAGACTCTAGCCAACTTTTTATTTCTACATAGAGAGAATCTGCACAGATATAGAACAGTCTATATGAGCATAGGTCAATCAACAACTCAACTATAGTCCATAGAAATGAATTTGCTATATTGATAATTGTTGTAGATGAAGAACATTTAGTTGTTCCAGTTTCTCAAAGATGACCATTTACAACTATTCCTTTTAAAAAAATATTTCTAATAAATCACTCTGAAACTTGGACAACTTAAACTAGCTATTATAGTATGAGTTTAATGTATTGTTTTATTAAAACAGAACAACTCCAGCTGTCAATCCTAAATTGGAGAGTGGAAAAAGTGAAGAATACATTTCATATTGGTTTACATGTCGAATTGTTTATAATTTATGTTTTCATATAGAATATATGCCAAGAATACACTCAAAAACCATACACATTCACCGAATGTGTTACAATCTGAAATCCAATGGTGGAAAAAAATTAAATCTTATTGTAAATCTAAAGAAATGTATTGTTTAGGGGTCATGACAAATCATTATTCTACTGTGGGTGGTTCATCACTGCCCACTACACAGAGAAAATATAAAAATATATAATACATATACACAAGAACACAATAATTAGATAATAATAATAAACACAAAACATTAATTATCACAGAATCCTTGCTATGAATTTTAACAAAAGAAAATAGATCATCAACGCAAAAACAAATTTAAAGTGAAATTAAACTATGTTTGCATCATCATACAACTTCTATCACTAATGTGGGATGTACATTTGGTCAAATCAAAGTGACTATTCTGCTTTTTCACTTTTTTATAAAGAGACTGAGAAAGTAAAAAAATGCTTCAAATTTAATGTGACTGCACCTATATCATTATTGTAATTATGATTATTATTATTATTGTTATTTCTGACATTGTGTCTTATCCAATTAAGAGCCTGATTCATTTTACACAATGGGTGTGAAATGGTCATTTTCGGTGCAGACAAGTGGCACTAAACTCCATGTCTGAAAAATCAATAACAACCGCCCTGATTCATCAAACCACTGCATTTCAGCGACATACCATCAACCCCCCCTCTCTCTCTCTCCTATAACTGTTCAAACGCACAATGCGCTCTGGACCGCTTTATTCAGCCTCACAACTTCCCTGCGTTTCCATTGGTCCCTTGAGGATGCGGCGAAATGTGATTGGAGGAAAGTTTCTCTTCCAGTCCACACACCCCCCCCATCCCGCAGATATTCGTGATTCGGTGCCACTGTGGTTCCAGTTGTTTTCACATCCCCTCGCTAACAAAGAGACGCAGAGCTGCTGCCTCTTACATCTCCGGGAACAGTGATGCACAACTGACGCTTTATTGTACATCGAGGCGAAGACGAAGGAGCTAAAGAGCAGAAACACACTCGGCTTTCAAAAAGAAGATCAATTAGGGGAGACTTTGGAAAGTTTTTTTTTTAGACTTAAACGTAAAGAGCGAAAATGGTGTCGGCCGGACTGGAGATCATGGGACTGGCGCTGTGCGTAATTGGCTCGCTCCTGGTGATGGTGGCGTGCGGACTGCCCATGTGGAAGGTGACGGCTTTCATCGAGGCCAACATCGTGGTGGCTCAGACAATCTGGGACGGCTTGTGGATGTCGTGTGTGGTGCAGAGCACGGGCCAGATGCAGTGCAAGGTGCACGACTCCGTCCTCGCCCTCAGCCACGACCTGCAGGCGGCCAGAGCGCTCACCATCATCTCCTCGGTGATGGGCGTGCTGGGGCTCATGGTAACTATAGCCGGGGCGCAGTGCACCAACTGCATCCGCACGGAGTACGTGAAAGCCCGTGTGGTGAACGCCGGAGGGGTCATCTACATCCTCAGTGGTCTGTTTGTGCTGGTGCCTCTCTGCTGGATGGCCAACAACATCATATCGGACTTTTACAGTTCACAGGTGCCCGCATCCAAGAAGAGGGAGATCGGCGCTGCGCTGTACATCGGCTGGGCGGCCACAGCGATGCTGCTGATCGGAGGATCGCTGCTGTGCTGCTCCTGTCCCACCAGCGGGAACTCGGGATACTCGGTAACATACGCACCGACCAAGAGAGCCACTCCAAACGGGGAGTATGACAAGAGGAACTACGTGTAGCTATGTGGCTCATGGCAGGCGGTGCGTAAAAGTGCGTAAAAGTGACCTGCAGCTTTTTTGAGAGACGTTATCTTTGCACCAGCATTTTGTTAAAATCTGAAATATGAACTTTGAAAATCAATGGAAGCACCTCTGCTTTTTTACGCTTGGACCACGACTTCCCACTTCCTTTTTGTATCTACAGGAGATTAAAGAAAAAAACTATGAACCACAAGAGGTAGCTCACGACAAAAAGGAGTATCTGTGTTAGGTACCTGCTTTTGTAAGTCTTCGAAATGATTAGTGTTTTGAATTGTTTACTGTTGTAACTAAAGTTTTTTGTTTCTTTTCTTGAGGAACTCTTGCCATCAAGTATATTTACACTGTTCTCTTGCCTTGATGTGCATCGTCAGCACAAACGTGTAGGCTACTGTAACTGAGAATAATTGCACTCTCACGCCGACATGTTGAGGACTCAGCGACAAAGAACGATGGAGAAAAGTTCCTGGGGACTTCGACGTTTGCAGTGTATTTTAGGACCTGTGGATTCCGGAAAACCTGGGAACATATGGGCCAAAATGTTTTTATGTCACAGTCCTTTATCGACCGCATTGAACCTGCTATGTCTATTTTCCACCTTTGTCACTGCAGGAATAAACGTTTTCTGTTGGTTTGTTGACGTTTGATGTAATGATTCATTATTCATGTATATGAAGATGCAATATCGTTTCATTTTTATTAAGATTAAACCCAATATATTGCCTGAAATCTGAAGTGTGTTCTTAAACAAAACAACTGGGTTGCAGCGGGGTCTGCAGAGGCAGGAGAGCCACCATCGGCTGTGCGTAACGCATACCGTTCCCACCGTGAATCCATACACCCCCACGGCGGGAGAAAGTATTTTGGTTAGCCATAGAAATCCAGATGACAATGCCCATTCAGCAAGAGTGGGGCTCTGCTGTTCAGCTCACAATACTCCACAGCCCCCACCACCAGCCCCTTCAGACCACCCCCACCCTCCTCATCCGCAGTCAGTGAAAGGCGTCCAAATTAGAGCTATATGGGGAAGCTGCTGGAATCGTCTTCCCGAAAGTGACTCCATTTGTCGTCACAAGCCCATCTCCCTCCACCAGGATGGAGTCCATGACTGCAGGGAGCACACAGCATCACTAGTTTACCCACAGCTGCCTCAAGGACACACCATGTTAACACTGGTGATGATGCTCAGCAGTTTTATAATAAAGATCTAGCAGGGTTGTTTAATTTGTTGTTACAATAGAAAAATAACAATAACAGGAGATATTTCAGTGTGTGAGTAACAGCACTCTTGCTTTAAACGGTGACTGGATTACCCAGGCTTATCCATACTTGTTTTGCTGGTGATTTAAGAATCTTAGCTGGTCATATGCCGTCTTAAAAGATGAAAATATGGCCCCACAGAAAATCTGCATACAGTCGGGGGAGTGTGGTCAGAATGTCATCCAAGGCTGAAGTTATTCACCAGAGAAGATTCTCCACATTCACAACAGATAGCACTACTGCTATTGTTCAACATTTGACTTGAGCTGCTGCACATGGAACACAACATTACATTCAGATTCAAACTATGATGTGAGACACACGGTCCACTCCCTTTTCCCTTTTAATCAAATGTCATGGTCTTCATCAGTGCCCATTTTTTTCAGTTGCCATGGAGATGGATCTGTTCATCTTCACAAAAGTTCACTTGTGTGCTTGGAAAGTTTCAGAGAACAATCTCAACTCAAGGTCCACTTACATGAATTTTGTAGTGGCGTAATTAAAAATCCATGCGTTCATAACCATATGTTTTATGAGTGAAGGGTCTGAAGAAAACTTGTTTAAGTTGTATAAATGTAGCTTGAGCCGAGATTGTTTGGTCAAAATATCATAATTTCACATATTTTTGAAGTCAAGAATAATCTATTAATTATTCAATTAGTTGATGAACCAAAACATTAATCAGCAATATTTCACTTGTTCCAATGACACAATAATTGAGAGAGTTTGCTAGTTCCACCCCTTAACTTACTTGGCTGTTATAAGATACATTACACACTATATGTTCCGCTGCAGTGCAAAGACCAACAATGTCGGACCATCGTTCAAAACTTTACAGGTTCCTCTGTGACACTCAGACTGAGGCCCAATCATTCTGAAGACAATAATCTTCAAAATAGTCGTAAATATATTGATTCATTTTTTTAAGTGGCTCGATATTTTCTTATAACAGCTGGGTGCGGTTTATACAAATTACCCAGACAGGTGTAGGCTATAAAACATGTTTTGGGGACTATTTTCAGTAGAGGATTGATACACATTTAGTGATCTTAATACTGTATGTGGGACTGACTCAAAACAAAAAATACAGTGATCATATTCATCGTTATGAAGTAGCATGAACAGTGTGGTTCACCTGTGTGTTTTTAAATACTTGTTGACCAACATCAGAAATCTATGGCACAGTGGAATAATCAGGTTTAGCTGCACAGACAATATCTGTTCAGGATCTATTTGTTGAAAATAAGAAATATATATAATTTCACCAGACTTCATTGTGTCACACTTGCTGTTCGGTTGTCTACAGTAGGCGTCTCCATTTTGGGCTTTCTATGGGTTTTTCTACACAAAGACACTCCCTGGAAGGTCCAGTCTGGTCGCCTCAGTGAGATGTTTTTGTTGGATTGTTAGTTCCACTCCTCTAGTCACTGCACAGAGGGTGACGAAGCGCCGGGTGTGTTTTTGTGGGGGTGTGTGTGAACAAGGGGTTAAGTGAGTGTGTGTGTGAGTTTTGGGAAAGCGGGGTGGGGTGGAGGGGTGGGGTTGTGGGGGGTGCACCTTTAAAAAGGCCCTCATTCCAATGAGGAGGGAGGCAAATAGGGCCAGCGACGTCACTCAATGGGCGCTTGCCATGGTAACCAACCAGAACCTGCTGTTGCCTGGTAACGAAACCCTATAATGTGGTGGTATGGATGAGCCCTAATAAAAGGGCTGGCCAGCAGACATTCTTGCGAGCATGGACACACACATACACACAACCTATGTACAGCAGTCTGGAGGGATTTACCTAAAGCCTGTAATGATCACTGCAGAAAGAGCTGTGACAGCAGAAACACGCCAGCTTCATTGTGTTTCGTTTTAAGAGCAAATGTTAAGTGATGCTATAAATGTTTCACACTGGGAAACAAAAACTCTAAAGGGAGCATAAAACACGAATGTAAACAAAAGAGTTGCTGATACATCATTGGGTCCCATAGAAACAGGTGATGTAACACAGAGAGACTTACTCTGACCTCTAAACTTGACCTCCCTGAGCACGGCGGACCGAGGGCCACATGGTTTAGGTCAGACCTCAGTCAGGCTGTGCACTGATTTCAGATGTGTGCAACTGCCAGTGAGAGTCACGCGTGTGGAGGGGGGGGGTCAGGCTGTTTCTCATGATGTGAACTTTGAACTATGACGCTGGCCTCAGGTCAGACAAGACATAGCCACTTCCCTTCACTGACCAGGCATGATCTCATCGAAGCAGAATCTCCTGCATTTAATATGGGTCACAACCCTCAACCCCCAAGATCGTCACACTTAAAAAGAACGGGTCGCACAGTCAGCTGATTTTACGATTTAATTTCACATGGCATGGATATAAAGCAACCACAACAGTATTACATATGCTCAAGTATTGTATTTAGTAGATTTTTGTGGTACTTGTACCTTACTTGAGTCAATTTAATGACATGTTGAGCTTGTGCTTATATTTATCTGGCGGCTATAGTTACAGTGTATTTACAGATTAAGATTTAATCTTGAAATAAAATGCATTGTCTGACATTAAACAAGCAAAAATAAAATCAGACTTTCAATTCAAACATAGTGAGGATTAATTCAGTGTAATTGTACTTTTAGATTTATATCTTTTATGTTGCTGTGGCCATTAGATTACTTAAGAGTTGACTGAGAAATGGGCATAAATTTAACAACCCGTGATAATAATTTATATTTGTGACTTAGTCAGTCATTTTATTGTTTAATCTGCTTATTTGGATAAATAATATGGCAAAACAGGTCATGTATCCAATAAATGTATGAATATATTTAATAGCATTCAAATTAGCTTCTCACAGTAAGACTTAATAATAACCATCCAATGATATGGGCTAATACAAAAGTTATGTTTACTGATTTCTCGACATATTAAACTATGAGTAGCCACATTTACCTGTTGATACTTAACATAATGGAGTATTATTGTATTAACACATTTGAGGATATAAATATTTCTTCGGGATGATTCACAAAACAAAGGAGACTTAATTAGTGTTTCTACTGGTTCACTCAGATGTGCAACAGAGTCAGCAGGTGCATACAGTCTGCAGACGGCCCAGCTGGATAGCTTACTCACAGATAACTAAGCCAAGAGTCAGCAGGTGGTTAAGAGTGGAGGACAAATGTGGCTTTGTACACAGAGCTAAAGACCCCATGAGTCATTTGTGTGAGAAACAATGTCTGAGCTCGAGTGGTAAGAGATGGAGATCAGAAAAAAACATGTTCTTTTCTCCTGTACGTCCGCAAGGGTTACGGCTTGGTGACTCACGAGTTTTTGTTTCAGCTCAGTAGCACGACCAGGCATCCTGTGCAGCGGACAGCGGAACAGGAAACAGGAAGGAACATGGAGGGTGTGGAGAAGGAGGGTGCAGGGTATGTGTCTCAGGAGATATTGGAGAGCCTGGTGGTTGGGTTAAAGCGCTCCCAAAAATATACACACCTTCCAAGAGAGTTCTTATGTCTGTGCACAACATCAGTTGTCATTTGTTTACAACCATGTATGGTTACGCTGGATTCAACAATTGCAATAGATGACGTAGATGACATAACCGTTAATTGTTCTTTCAGAAAATGCTCTTCCTTCTGAAGCTAAATAAACCATTAGAAAACAAATGGGATTTCTGAAACATGCACTCTCAGAAAGCTGAAAACAGGGATGTGTTTCTGAGACAAGTCAACATATTGGACTTTGGACAATTTTGCACACATTTTTAATCAACAAGAAGTTCACACAAAATATCAGCATATGGTTTTCAGAACGTTTTGGTTCAGTCTCTCATGCTCTGATTTTTGGCCTCAAACATCTTAAAACCCATTGTACTCCACCTGCTCTGCACGAAACAGCAGAGAGACACAGTTCATAACTACCCTCAGGAGCTGGAGGAGAACGAAACCGAGCTAAAAGAGAGAAAACAATAAATGATAATAGTCTGTGTGTAAATAACTTAATGATATCCACTTAAAATGCTGCTATTCACAATATTGCTTTTCAGTGCAAGGTCACAAATATTGAGAATCATTCCTGAAGCCGAACACGAAGTTTTAACTTTAACCATAACCCAACATTTAAATTTTTATATGCTGCCAAAAACACTTTCCCCCAAACTTTGCAATGTTCCTGTATTGATATGTAATGAGATAAGACAGCAGCAGATTTACAACAACAAATGAAGTGTTTTCATTAAAGAGTGATAAACAGAGTGTCCAGTGACGGCTTTATCTCAAAATATGAGAGTGGAGAAGGTGAAACTGGGAGTTTCGACTCCTCTCATGCCTGAGTGAGATCATGTTTCCATACAGTATATCCTAATATCATCAGTATAAGTACTTTGACACTTAAAAACATGTATTGACTTATACACACACACACACGCAGGTGTAGGCAGACCAGACAAAGTGGTGAGTGACGACCCTCTGCTGAGATGAGG